AAAGTAAGTCAAATATTGACAAAGCTGTTATTATCTCTATATGAGTTATACAACTAATACAAACTCAATAGAAGGAAGGGGGCTCACAATCATATAGGCGAATGTGGAGTATGGATACTCTAATTATATTACCCTCCTGTAGGTTGTAGGGGAGGTTGAAATGGATATTATCTGTATTCAAGAGCCCCGTCTATACAATAATTCAGTAACCCAAAATCATACCGTATATGACTGATATCAGCTGATCGATATTTAGGGGGCAATCGATAGCCCTGAACATAGGCCTCGAGTAATCACTTATATATATAAAAAAAGCGATTTGAAGATTAGATAAATGAAATAGACTGGAAACAGAAATCTACTATAGATCAATGTCAATAGGTATTCGATTCTCAATATCTATCGCGCCCTACTCGATCCGATAATAATAAACTATATACTCAGACTAGAAATTACTTTAGGGATTAGTACAGTCATCGGGGATGACTTCAATACTAAATACGATCTATGAAAACCCGAAATAGTAATTGTTAATCAAAGCAATACACTTACACATTAAACTGCCGAACAGAAAATGAAATATATTGGGACTCCCGGTGCCCCTATATATACAAGGGGATATATCCTAAATCTGATTTTTTTCAATCTGGTTATTGTTACGATAGTGATCGATAATAATCTATATAGCAGTTTCGATTACACTACTCAAATTACCATCATCCCGAATAGAGAAATCTTTGAGTATAAGTAAGCGCATACCCAAATATGCAATTCAGATTTACTCTGTCTAGTAGGCATAATAACCAACCGCTTAGCAAACCTTCAGAACCCTAACCCCCGGTCTACCCACAATATTGATAGACTGATTACCAGACTCACAAGTGCACTAAGCATCTCTATAAAAGCTGTAGAATAAAAAGATCACAAACTCTATTGGTTATCCCCATAATAGACCGATAAATGTAAAGAGACATATTGTATATATATACAAACTAAAGAGACTGCTACAATTGATAATGTGGCAATTGCTCAACAAGACCTATAAAGAGTCGTACAAACATTGAAACAAATTTACTAAATTAAACGCCTGGATAATGTACAGAATAATTAGGAATTATACAAAATTATAAACTAGTACAAGCTAATCCCAGAAACAAATTTCAAGGTCTCCCTTTTAGTAATTAAGAACTAGAAGATCACTGATATCAAGAAAAAAGCCAAAACACTCTTTGTAACAATATTCAACCACTTCAAAGTATTAAATGATTTACAATATAATCCATTGTAGGAAGAGGGTTATTAAATAATCTTATTATAGAAAAGGACGATTATTATAAAAAAAATGAAAAAACATATAATAGGAGTCAGGAGCACATTGCCCGGAGTCGATCGGGTAATCGTTTGTCTTCTCAAAGTATATTGGCTTAGTATTAAGAGTATGATATATAAGATCTTTACAGTCTACCTTAGGCTTAGCTATTATCCCAACAAGTAGAAATTCGTTAAAGTAGTTATACTACTCAAGGCTGATAAGAAAAATAGATTGTCTTCAAGATTGTAAAGGCCGATTGTATTGATATTATATATCGGAAAAGAACTAGAAAGGTATATCACTAGTTAAATTGTATGGATAATTATGAAATACAATATTATCAGCCTTTAATATTACAGGGTATTGCTGAAGAAAGCCGGTATTGATTTTACGACTATCTTTACTCATAATGCCAAGCTTGTATTAATAGTGGGTAAAGTAGTTATATTAATAATAATAAATATATAAGATATTTATAATACACTCCTTAAAAAACAACTTCTATAACATATAAAGAAGCAGGGCTAGCCTATAGTGCTCCTACAATTCATCGACTCATTTTGATTAAAAGATATGTATATATAAGGCTTGAGGGGATTATAACAAAGGACTTTCCGATTATATATGGTATCTCTCAAGAATCGCTGCTTTCTCTGATTTTATATATCCTCTACCTTACAAAGCTTCTCAATCAAGATAGAGCATAGCGTTTCGGCTATGCTGATAATATAGCTATATATTATACATCTAGAGATCTATCTACAAATATACATGTATTCCACCAAACCATACAACGTATTTTAAAATAAGAAGATTAGAATAAGGTCTTTTTTGCTTTGGAAAAGTTTGAGTTATTTTATATATCGAGAAAGTATGAAATTGTAAACCCGATTATAAGGATAAGTCGGGATCTGGTTATCATATCAATTCCTTTAGGACTCATTAGTGGAGTATAACTGGTATTACACTAGCTTAGTGTTTTCTTCGATTGGCGTCTAATGTTTTTATAGTATATCAAGATATACATCACAAAAGCTATGCGTATTGTATCTCATATTCGATCAATAGCCCACACAGTCTACGGACCCTCTGCAGCCTGTCTATGAAAAGCGATTATTATCTGTATACTCCCCATCACTCTTTACAGCTTTAAGGTATAGTTTAATAGATTATACAAATAATATATAAGTGCAGGTTATACTCCGGTTGGCACCAGGATTAGGAAATATATTGATCTAGTCAGTAAGACGATTTACAATACAGTATAAAAAGCTCTATCTGCCTACAAAACAATCCCAACAATCGTCTTTCTTGTAAAGACCGCTCTTCCAATAGGAATTATTGTATTAGAACAAGCTAGACTGAGATTCGTATTTCGGCTATAGATAATGGATGCATAATATTTACTTGTAAATCAATTGAAGTTAGATATCAGAAAAAGAGGACGAGGTATAGGCATTTTGAAGAGCCCTAATACAAAACTGTAAAGAATGGGATGGGCGATCCCTGTCACCAAGCGTCCTAAACTCTTACAGCTATACTATTCTTTTGAATACCGTATTAATCCAATGAATGATATGAATAAAGAGAATGTTGTAAGAGTATTCAAGAAGTGGTAGAATTTAATCCCTTAAGACGATTATTCTATATTCTCAGATGAATCTGAATAATATAATGAAAATAGTTATTGCATGGGATACAGCTTTGTAATATATTGTGACAAGCAATAAATTAATAGCGATTATAACCGAATATACAAATAGTTGCATATCTTTGATGTTAAGGCAATCAGCGTATAGCAAGAGCTAGAATGTCTCCTAAACACCATTAATCGCCTCTACCAGGGACAGATATAGTTATGTATTGATAGTACGTTAGTAATCTGGGGAATGCGAGGAAGTACAGTTATCTCCTCCCAATAGGCATATCACAAATGCTATCAAGCGATGCAACATTACGATATTGCAATCAGATAGTCCCCTAGGCATACTAAAATTGAGGGTAATGAGGTAGCTGATTGCCTTACCGACCAGAGCACAACTGAGCCGCTTGATCCGGGCCTTTTCTGCCTCCCTACAGTTAGTAGCATTTGCTCTATTCTATATGCCAAATATCTACACTCCAAGAGCAGATAATGAAAGGAAAAGAGAGACCTGATCTCCGAAATATACGATATATGGAAACCGGTATATGATACCTCGAAATCAAGAAACCTCAAGCTCCCCTATGGGATACTCTATAGACTTATAGCAATAAGAACCGGACACAATGACTTTGCAACCTATTATATTAAATTTAATTACAAAAATAGTATGAATATCTGCATATACAGGATTGAGAAAAGCCCACTACACTTCTTTCAATGCCTAATCAATAATCAGACACACAGCAACTAGCCACTTACACCAAACCGTTTTCGATTCGAATAGGATACAATAGCATACATCAACCATATCCTACGAATACAAAACAGTTTTATTGATCTTCTTATCAGATCCAGATTCTATACTAAGATATACCCAAACTACACGAAATCGCACAAACACTAATTTGCTCCAACACCTCGAGAATAAGCTTTTTACCCTGAACAACCTAAGATCTATATTGACCAACCATACACACTTCAAGCATACTTCTGATCAACAACGAACAACCTGATCATTCGTTGATATCCAAATAATATACAAAACAAGATTCTCTGAAAGAGGATTATAAACCCTTAAACAGAACAGCCACAGGATCGCCACAAACAACACTGAACAGAAAAACACTAGAGACAATAAGCTTCTGATTAACTAACATTATATTATTATAAACAATAAGAATGTTAGCGATCTATAGGCCCGCTCCTTAATATGTCTAGAATACCCTTCGGGAGGTTAGACATTAGATATTAATTATTATAAATAAATAAATAAATAAATTTATTAAAAAGTTATTAAAGATTTTATAAAAAATTTAAATTTGTATGTGATTCCTGTGACGACAACAGGTTCACGACATAATAGTAAAATGAATCAATTATCGATACTAGAGAATAACAAACTACTGTACAAAGAGTGAACCTGTAAGAGGTTTTTATAGGCCAGGAGGGGACCAGGAGGGGACCAAAAGCGAAGCGAGATTAGACCTGCCGGGTGGGGCAAAGGGATGACTAATCTAGGCCTGGGGCCAGATTGTCACAATTCCCATATAAATTTAGAATCGATGTTTTGAAGCTCTAGCTCTCAATACAGAAAAATCCTAAAAATCTAAAAATTTCAGAATAAGCTTAAATCGATCTAAATTATATATATACAAATTTTCATTGAATTCTATCCATAAATAAGAAAGTTAAAAATTCCATTTTTGGTGTATTTTGGGTATAAAAAGTGGCCCAAAAGGGGGGTGGCCAGAAAGTGGGGTATCCGACTTAGTCTCTGAGTTTTGTTTCATGTATTAGCAACAGTTCAAGATCAATATTTGTCAATTGAAAGCATAGTCATCTGTAAAGACGCTTTGGAAATAGCCCATAACGAGTAAATCGTATCAAGAACGGATGAAAACAAGCCAAATTCAGTTATTGCATTGCTGTAGTTATCCATCTAATTCGAGTATACCTTTTATCCCGAATCAATTATCAATTCTACCATTTTTCCATCCAAAATCTCTTTCTATCACGCCTCGATGGCCTAGTGGCATGCTGAGATCAAGCGCCAGCACCGATAGATCCAACATTCGCTGTTTCTTTCAATCTATCCGCTAGCATATCATCCAAAGGCTTCAGCGCATCACCCAGACTCTTAGTATTCGAGTTCTCAAGAACGGATTTACCAGCTGTCATTACTAGACGTTCAGGAGCTGGCTCTTGGAGATACGACATTACGCGTGCGCGATGAGCTGCTCGAAACAACTAGTGATGATTTATCAGCACATAATCCCCACAAGTAGAAGTAACTGAACGGAAATTGATAATAGACAAGAAATACACACCTTCAACTGATTAACCATCTTCGCGAACTCCTCTTCGATTTCCCTTTCTCCTTTCTCCCTCGCTCCCCTCACAAAACTATACTTCTTAAGCACTAAACACAATTCTCGTTGTCTCACTGGTATATATCTCTCCATATTTTCATCTGTCAAATATCTCTCCATTCCCAAAAACGCATCTAGAGCTTGGAAGAACAAGACGTGGTTTCCAGAAAGTCCATCGTATTTCACATATACCCCATTGACGATTTTTCCAACGCCCCATCCTTGGAACCCCTGAACGTAGGAAAGCCAGACGGAGTGAGAGACGCGGGACTTGGTGAGATTTTCGTAGAAGACGAGGAATAGATCGCGGAGACGCGTGTTGATGGTGCGGAGGTGGGGGAGGCAGGTGCTGGCGGAAGATGAGTTGTAGGATAGGACTGAAAGAACCATTTCGTGGTAGATGGGGAAAGCCTGGGAGAGTTATTAGTACTACATGGGAAGATTGGGATGGACGGTGGAACTTACGACAACTTCAAGGTCATAGAACATTTGGAAGAAAACTTCTTCGGATGATCGGATCAGTTCGGACATTCCGACGTTAATTCTATAAATCCTTTCTCCTCTCGTATTAAAGTTAAGCAAGACGTTTGACGTATTGTTTCTTGCATCGGCATCGACACCGAAGTTTCGCTGAAGATATGGCCACGGCGCGTCGAGTTCAGATGGGAACTCGACGATTTTCTCTAATTGTGCTACTTTGACCACAGGAATGGTTGCCCATCTGAGGTCGTATCAGTATACATTCGCTTATTGGAAGGGATACCACATACCTATATGCATGACGACAAACAGCAACACAGCAATAGAAAACCATTGTATGCATCTCTGGGAAAGAGATCCCAATTACCAGCTTCAACTGCAGCCATGATGGCCACAACTTGGGGAACATTGATCCGCTCCATCAACGACTTGCGCATCATAGATCGATATTTTTCGCGTCTTTCATTGTTGGTATCATCATCTAGCGAAGGCGGAGCCGCGGAAAGAAGCGGAATGAGCTGGAAGTAAATATCTTTGTATGGACGAAGAGCCATGGGCCACGAATCATGATTTGCATTCGGTGGCCAAGCTCCTGCACCGTCCTCATCAACTAGTCTTGACATAACAGCGGCCACTTCATGTTGATCTCGTAGATTTCTCAAAGCTTGATATTTTGAGACATTCTCGTTCTCGTCGATCTTTTCCTTGACTTTGGTTTGGATCGGGACTATCACTGGTATCGGGACTTTAGCTCGCGTGCTGCAGATTCTGATTAAACTTGCCGAAGCAAAAGCCAGGGTAGACGCTAGAGCACCTATGAAGAGGATCAATTCAAGCATCTTGCAGAAAGTTTTTATGGAAACCCCGTTGTTGAATATTGGAGTATCCTTGTTGAAACGAGTTTCGGGAAAAGGTAATTTCAGAACAAAATGGGTCAAGAATTTGTTAGAGAAGGGCTGAAGATTGATGTTATTCCAGTATAGTTTACAGAGTCCAGGTTTTATACTGGTCTACAAGCCTCATCTTGCACGATTGATAAAATATTCGCGTAAGCCCCTTCATTGACGACGGTTACGTGTAACTACAAGTTATTTTTTTGATTGGGTCGAGGAGAGAGGAATGCCTCAATGAACACAACATAAACTTGGCTGAAAACTTCAGTAGACAGCACAGCCTTGACCGGAGAACTCGTACATCTATCCATTAATCATAGTAGGTTCCCCGCAAACCGGCGAAAAGATTAGTTGATACGGCAGCCCTAGCTGGCACCATGTCTCAACTAAAACGCGACATATCGTACGCATCTCTGGAAAACTTAAGATGGCACTATAATCCTGGGAGTAAGCTTATTTTGAACACCCGTTCTGACTGCCAGAAATCCACCTGGAGGCGAGAGCCGCTAAAATTTAGCAACGTCGTTCTATATAACCCAAGTAAACAGGTAAGCATGATCCATATACATGGTAGGTTTTATCCCACATGGGCCGAGTGTCATCCTATGATCGTATTTGCTCCCCTCATGAGAGTAGAATCCTTCAATATGTTTCAAGACAGGAAAATTGACGCCTCCATGGTTTCTTTTGGTGTAAGAACTTACCCAACCGGTCGATGAGCCCCTGATATATGCATTGAAGAAACGTCGGCTTATGCTTAACTTAAGCCACAAAGGGTCTGAGAGGGTGGAAACTAATGCCACCATACCAGATAGCTGTTGCAACAATGTGAAGAGACGCCAAAACATATTATGTGTCATAAACATTTCTGAGCGAGATAAACGCCAATCGATAGTGTACAGGTAAAAGCCCCAGTATATTTTGTTACTGCGCCCAAAGATCCAAAGACGGATCGATTTTAGGTGGCAGTACCTGTGCAGCTTGCTCATCTATTGCACTGGAAGACTTCGGGCCCGTATGGGCAAGATGATAGTTTTGATCGCTTATCAAATCCCCATAATTTTCACTATCAAGCAATTCCTCACTGGGAAACATCCGGTATGATTCAATGCACTCAAATTTGCTCCAGTCCAGGGTGCACATTTGAGCTGATGCCCAGACAATTGAGCCTCACCCAAAAAGTTCTCGTGTGAGATTTGACTTCGGGTTTGTGAGGCGCTGAAACCAGCACGAATGAATAGTTTGCAAATATAGGATTAGCAAGCACAGAAAGGAGTACGCGTCGCATATGAAAAGCCGAAGATACTCGGCCAAGAGTGAGATGAGATCCTTCAAACAACCCATCCACTGGTCGAAGTGCGAAGGTGTCATTTTCATCGATGCCACGTTGCCGATCATTGCTTGATGGCTTCCAGTGACATCCTTGATATCATGAGGTCTGATGGACGGCATGAGTGTCTATATTTATGTCAAAGCTTGGAAGTTAGGTACAAGTCCTGGGTGAGACAAGGGATGAAAGATAGATCTCAGACAGCATTCAGGCAACGGACTCAGTAGGTGCCGATAATTGAGCCTCCTCGGACATGACAATGCAAGCTTGTTTGCGCCAGTACTCCGACACTTTGCATGGACGGGACATGCTATATGCATTGAAAATCACGCACGCAGGCTCGGCCCTATTTGATGATCACATCTGCTCTACTGATCGAATCGACTAACAGGTGACTCTTCAATCCTAGTGCAGTTAATGACTTCTATAGCAATCTTTCTGATCTGTTCAAATCTTAGGTAAACAAGATTTAACGGTGCATCTTCTTCATGGTGGGCTGTAGCAATTTCCTCGCCTTCATCATTTCAAACTAAATTAGATAGGTATATTGATCCTAATCAGAGTTACAGTTCCACAACTGCGCTGAGCGGATATGCAAGTAAGAGGCTCAAGCCCTAATCGGGTAATCAGAGTTGTTTATTTTGTGGTAGACTTGGTTGGATAGTGGTTATAATGTTGATGACGACTGAGATGTTTGGGTTTCGATAGAGTATGACCCGATACCGGAGGAACTATCACACGAGCTGACCAGGCAACCCTGAATTTCATTTGGAGGTAGAAGATAATGCGAGAACCGTACAAGAATGATACTGCTCAATATCTAAGGTCTAATTTGGTACACTCCAGTTCAAAATTCAGCTACATCTAAAGCCTAGTGAATGATTGATTGCCAATATTTTGCGAATTCATACACCGTGTAAGTATGATGTATCTAAAAGCAAGAGGTATGTTCTGGCTATTTTTGAGGGAAGCCTATGTGACAATACTACAAGCTACACATACTTGGAGATAGTAGCTGTATGGTCAAGCGGCCTGAAAACAATGAAAATTCAAGATCCATCAGAAAAGAGTGATTTGCGACGGAACAAAGTAGTTATAGAACTGATTTTGTGTCTCAAAGTACCCTATAACTAGGGCTTTCTTGCAATAGTGACGGTGTACTTCTGGTACAAGCCCTCCTCAGAATTGATGTCATGGAGACATGCTCTGGTCAATGTGTCCAATTTCTCTCCACTTATGCCAATAGCTCCAAGCATTTTACCAAGTAACTCCGGATACTGTGGTATCAATTTAGCTTGGACATACCTCGCCATTGCTTGACTTTTAGGCGTTTTGCTTGACGCCGAAAATGAAAACTCAAAACTTTGGATATTGATCACCTCCAAACCACAAGCTCTCATTAACGCTGCTGCTCCAGAACCAGAAATTGTCGAAAGTCCGGACTTTTGAGCCCCGGATAAGATTGCTTTGTGCCACTCCCAATCGTCACTCACACACTCTGAGGTCCCGACGCGATAAAATTTCCAGTCTAAATCCTGATGCTCAATTATGCCACCAGACCTCAACGCATGTGACGTGGTTGAAAAGTACTTTGGCCAATTGTTGATACCTAAGAAAAGCATGCGACCGAAGATATAATCCAATCCTTCCGGTTTGAATATCTCACGGCTTAGGATACCATCATCGGGTTGGTTGTAGTCAGCATCCAATGCATTTCCTTGAGCCCAGACCACGTTACCCGGTGCCATTTTCTTTGACTCCTCTGGGACTGGGGTTAGGTCGAGACCGTAAATGGTTGCAGATGGTAAGATTGTAGCAATCTGGATGGTCGCCACACCAGTACCACAGCCAATACTAGGCCACCCAAAAATCAGCAATTGCATAGAATTCTTTGTGGCATTGTGTAGTGACTAGGGAGAATTTTATGAAGCATGCAAAGAAGTCCCTCAATCGGCTCGTTTGTAAGTTAAGAACTGATTATACTTACTCAACCACCTTGGAAATATTATCCAGTGTCTGCAATGGAGCTAAGAGAGGGGAGCCACCAATCATCTCGACAATGGCAGCTGCTTGAGTATCAAGTCGATCCTGCTCAATGACACTACAGTAATGATTTTAGTACAGGTTTCAGTGATTGAAGACAATGCGCCTACTCGTTTGCTTTTGGGAGCACGTAAGCCGCGGTCGTGTCATGATAGCGCTGTTGGCCGTCAACTTTAACTGTTGCCATGTTGTAATTGCGATTTGTTATACTTTGGGAGAGTGATAATTGATCAGTATATTGAAATGAAATCAGTTGCGTTCAGGATAGCTCGTTTTGCAAGACAAATCTTGTCATATTGTATTTGAAGGAGCTGGAGTTGATACTCGAGACTCCTCCCACGGCGGGCGTGATGACATGAGATACTGCATCCTTGTCGTGTAAGAGTCATGACAGGTTGATCACCGTGTATGCAGATGTGTATGCAGATATGTTGTATGTCGTTTGAATTATTTAGGAATGTGGAAGGTCTGCGATTTGCTTGGCATGAGGTTGTGGATGCCGCTAATACTATTCGGGCTTAGCTTAAAAATGTCCTCGGCATCCCACATGTTGCCAAACCATCCAAAAAATTCACTTCTGTCAGTCAGAACATGCAAATAACGTTTGGAATCATGGTGACAAACCCCCCTCGGCTCAAGATTAGAAATAATCTGTATCTCTCGTGTGAGGTATTCAGGTATTGCTGCAGCTGCATTCATTAGCTATCAATAGGTAGGTGAAATATGCCTACACTTCAAGAAGCCCAAGTTCATCATCTCTATACTGTGCAAACGAACGATTCTCCCTAACGACTGTCTAATTTGAATCCATAAAACTACGGTGCACAAATTTTGCCAGCTTTTCTATTCTTTAATGGACCACAACAGTTCCCCAATTATTGAGCGCCCTGCTGGCGAGGATACTATCATGATGTCCTCCCGTCCACAACCTGCTTCAGGAGATGACAACAGAAACAAGGAAAGCTATACTGTTTCTCCTTCGACTGATACATTTCTCGAAAATGGTAGTAGTACACCACCAAAGATCGAAATGCCTAGTCTGCTAAGACAGAACGTCTTCATGGTTTTTATCACCTTAACCCAACTAGTTCAAATGATCCCTCTGGGCGCCGGTATAAATTCTAGTTTTGCTATCGGAGCAGCATTGGGAGCAACAGAAGCGCAGTCGGTTTGGAAAGTTGCCTCGTACCCTTTGACTCAAGGAACTTTCGTTTTGATTGGTAAGGCCACCCATCAGATTGCATTGTCATGCAAATAATTGGCGTGAGGATAGCTGACATGTCGTTGTTTCAAAGGAGGTCGTCTAGGCGCAGTTTATGGCCACAAGAATGTCTTCACCGCTGGTTGCATTTGGTGGACTCTCTGGGCATTGTGTGGTGGATTCTCTGATAATTTGATATCAATGTGTATCATGAGAGGATTATGTGGAATAGGCGGTGGCCTGATGATACCAAATATTGTGGCTTTGCTAGGTATCACTTTCCCACCTGGAAAGAAGCGAAATTTGAGTTTTGCTTTGTTTGGCGCCATGGCACCAGTTGGCGCTGCTGGTGGATCTCTCATCGGTGCGATTATCATTCAACTTTCTGATTGGAAATGGCTTTTCTTTATGCTGTAAACTAACTTGATTTCCTTCATGAGTCTCATTTACTGATAAAAATTAGTGGTCTACTTGGATTCGTTGTTTACGGAGTTGCTATTATGGCAGTTGATGCGGATATTCCCATTGATCCAAAAGGCACCGTGGACTGGGTTGGCTCTTACCTGGGAGTAGCTGCTCTTATTCTTTTTAACTTTGTCTGGAAGTATGTCGTGGCAGTTCATCATATTATCCAGAAAAATCTAACATCTTCACAGTCAAGCACCCCTTGTTGGATGGAACAGTCCTTACGAAATCGCACTTCTTGTTGTGTCTGTCTTTCATTTCGCTGGATTCGTATACTGGGAAATGAAAGTTGCCAAAGAACCCATTCTACCATTCAACATCTGGAAGGCCCCCTCATTCGGACTCTTGATGTTGACCGTTTTCTTCTCTTTCATGAGCCTGGGTATCTTTTTTTGGTACATGAATGCATATATGCAAAACATCCGCGGAGATAGTCTCATTCTTACTGGAGTGCAGTACTTGCCACTCACCATAGTTGGATGTGCAACCGCTTTTCTTGCAGCATGGCTGGTTCCTCGAGTACCGGCGCAGGTCATCATTGGCTTGGGATGTTTGGCAATGGTCATTATCAACGTCCTTCTATCGACTATTCCTGCAAATCTCACTTACTGGGCAATGGCATTTCCCGCAATGTTCATATCCGCTTTTACTATTGATCTGATCACCACCAGCGCCCAGATCATCGCATGTAACACTGTTTCAATGAAACATCAAGGTGTTGCAGGTTCATTAATAGGCACACTCCTTGGTTATGGATTGAGTACTGGTCTGGGTATCGCTGGAACTATAGAGGTAAACACCAACGACAATGGGAATAATCTTCTCAAGGGTTATCATAGTGCCGCATACTTGGGAGTCGGTTTGGCGAGTGCTGCCCTCATTATTAGCGTCATATTCATACGTATACCCAAAGATACCCGGGAAGGCTGGGCGGAGGATGATACGCATGCTAGAGAGAGAGGTCAACTGTAGGAGGAAAACTGATAGCTAGTGACTTTTCCGAGGATAAATACAAATTGATTTTTTAGTGCTTTAATATCTCGTTGTTCTGATAAGCATATTGTTTAATTCATGGAGCAACAGCACAGTTGGCCACAGGCTCGACGACTACGGGGGTCATCAATTAAGACAATTTTTAAGGTCGAATTTAATGTCTATACCGTTCGCATACGTTAATCTTGTAATAAGAACGAAATTTTTTGTGTTAACATTCGTTTTTTTTTCCTTCTGGAAAGATGGTCGTCCGTACAAGTTAATTTTTATTTCAGTCCATAGCATGCGGTTATTATTCAACATCTGTATGAATGTGTAAGCTGATAATCGCATACACACTTATTTTCACAATAAATACCTATCGTCAGGATCAACGCAGACAATGGTATCTCAATAATTGCTTTTGGATCCAATCTAAAGCCTGTAGCTCTGAAATGCTCTCGTACACTGAAAGCTATGTTTCTATCCTTAGCAGTACGTCTGCTATCTGCCCATTCAATTGATTTCCATTGCTAGTCATACAAAAACTGGCTTTGAAGCTCAAATTTCTCTTAAACAGAACCCTAGAAGCTCTGAACGGAATACGGCTGTAGATTTATGCCCTTAATTTTGCCCTGCGCTGTCAAAACACTGCTGACATTCTTCAATGCATTCTCATGAAAAATGGCAAAATCTGTACCACTTCGTCAGAACCTTTTACTCACATTAAAAATGGAAATTGGGACTGGCATACTCCTCGCGTGTCCTGTCTCACAAGCATATATACTCCATCTTATAGCCGTTTCGTATTTGAAAATATAGGTACTCTCCAAAGTAACCCAATATCCACCGAAAGAGCCATTGCCAGAATTGTACGCCACGGGAATGGTGGAGGCAAGTTGCTCGAATTTTTCAATAAATCCTCCACGAGAGTCGATCTTGAGGTCCGTCAACTACAGAGGGCAGTGTTAGAGTTTCTCCAATTCAAGGCCAGGTGATCATAGAACTTGGTAGTCAATTTGCAAATATTTACCTTCTCTGAAATACTGTATGTGCCTACTTTTGTTGGCAGATAGGAAGTGCGAATGGAAACTCCAGGCTTGTTTTCCGGACCACGGGTTTCATAAGGTACGACTCCGAACCAAGCGGAGTCATAATCTTGTTGGAGCACAAATCAGTATCAAATTTATCAACACAGGAGTCCTCACTCACAATCCATGATTAGATCCTTAACATCGTTTGCACTGGCTCCAACTACAGACCACGTAGAAGATTCCCAGTAGTCTGTACCTGCAGGGCATGCACATGGTAGGACCGAGTTAGTTGAGCAGCGTGCTGAATATTCTCTTCTGTGCGCTAACGCTGTCACAGCTAATGTAGCATAAATTGTAAGAGTGGTAGTGAACTTCATTTTGATTGGAGATAGGGCTAGGCGGAGAATATCAACGTAAATGAGAGTACACTAAGTGAGGTGGATATGTGAGGTGGATATGTGAGGTGGATATGTGAGGTGGATATGTGAGGTGATATAAGTGAGTGAAGAATCTATAGTCAACAGAAGTCTGGCTTCACACTCGTCGTAATCTGGAAAATGCTGCCTACAATCCACATGTCTTGGAAGGCTATAGACAATGAGATTATGAGAGGTGTCATCGTAGTTCACCGAGTCTGACAGAAACTCTTGGCTCAGGGGTTTCCCAAATCTCGGCGCAATGTGGGGGCGTGAGACATGATGTTGTTACCGATGGCTTACAGCGAGCTCACAGACTTCCCCGCCACAGCCCCATCGCTTCGTGTCTTACCATTTTATTGCACAACCCGATGACGAGCACGAATATGTCATCAGCATATCCCTACTTGCTGACCGCCTATGCGTTGATTTTTTACCGCCAAAACCGTTTTTGTGCCTCGTGGATAAGCAGTCATGTTTGTCTTTGAATTTTGATGAAGGATTTTGGCTTCACCTTTTCTTATTTGCCAAGGCTTTTGACACGGAAATCTTTCGATATAATACTGGGATGGCACTGTCTTAAGCTTTGGGTGAGACTTTCCAATCGCTAGCTTTTGACCTCAGAACATGTCTCTAGAACAATCCTTCGACCTATTCCTGGGTTAGAGTTGTCTTTGAGATCCGAGCTGAATGTTCATATCTAACTGCAACGGCTGTTAGAATTAAAGTTAGGCCGAAGAGCTGACATACGATGAATACTCTATTAGTCGGCGGAATACACGGAGGAAATATTCCTAAGATGAAACACGATTATTCCTCGGGGCTCTTCGAAGGAAATGATGAGGCGGACTTTCTTCAGGGCGCCCGCGGCTGAAAAATTTAAGGATGAGTGGGCAAGATTGAGACTTTCTGTGGGATTGGAAACGTTCACTCTGATACTGCTGATTGAAAAAGAAGACTTCTCATCTACAAATATCAATGTTCTCCCAGACAAGTCTCTATGCTCCAATTTGCGATATTTGAGATTTTCTCGTCAAAATGAGATTCATTACCTTCTCTTACTGCTTTCTTCTAGCAAAAATTCCACTGATCTTTGCCGGCTACGGTCATGGCCATGATAATACCCAAGCAGAGGCTTCCAAACAAATCGACAAATGGCAAGATCAATATGATCAATACATCAAAACTTCAACCAAGCACCAGAGAGTGGGATGCACATCTCAAAATATATTCTATCGTCAAGAAATGGTAAAATTCCACGATACTGAAGTTGAATGACTATTGCTAATTAATTTTCAGGGGTTCGCTTTCAGAACGTTCTCGCAAAGATTATATAAAGGCTGTTCAATGCTTACAATCAAAGCCTCCTAGAAGCACGAAAGAAGATGTGCCTGGTGCAAGAAGTCGATATGATGATTTCAGCGCTACTCATATCAAAGTGACACCTTATGTTCACTTCAGCGTAAACTCTTTTATCCAGATGACAGACATCACAGTCTCTAACGATAGACAGGGTCTCTTTTCTTCACTTCCATCGCTACCTAGTATATCTCTATGAAAAAGCCCTTCGTGAAGAATGCGGCTACAAGGGATACCAGCCCTACTGGGATTGGACACTCTCCTGGGAAGATCCGCGGAAATCCAGCGTTTTCAATGGCTCCCCAACATCTATGGGAAGTAATGGTGCTTTCAAAACCTAATCGTACCAGTACCACTATCTCCGCATTCGAAATTACTCTAGACATCCCTCCTGCCACTGGTGGCGGTTGTATATCGGGTCCTTTCTCAAAAAACTATACTGTTAATCTCGGTCCCATCGCTTACGCTCCCTATGGTCCCGATCACGGTCTAGGATACAATCCCCGCTGTCTATCGCGCGATATCTCATTGGTTTGGTCTAACAACACGAAACCTTCGACGTTGTGAAACTCATTAAAAATAGTCCAGATCTAGGAGCATTCGATACGAATCTCGAAGCATTAGATGGGGTTCACGCGGGTGGACATTCTCAATGGGTGGTTTGGGTCTAGATGCGGTATGCCAGTGCGGGAGACCAGCTTTTTGGTACATCATGCTATGGTGGATAAAGTCTGGAGTTTGTGGCAGAGTTTAAATGCAGGTAACAGGACGAACATGGTTTATGGGACAGGCACAGCGTTTAATGGTGAGTTATCTTTCGATGGAGGGGAAGTTTGGAGTTTTGCTAATTTTTATCTCTAGCACCTCCGAGTGCAAATATTACGCTTGATACACTGGTTGATTTTGGTATTCTGGCACCGAAACAGAAGATTAGTAGTCTGATTTCAACGATTGATGGAGCTTTCTGTTATGCTTATGTTTAGTTATTTTGTTTGATGTCGATTGGACTTTGGGTCAGCGTTCATTTTGCGGCTGTGGATGTTCACGATTTTGCAACGCCTTCTGGATTCCTCTCATGGTTCAAAGTGTGTTATATAGAATGGTTTGATTACCTCATTAAAGTTCTGTGCATCTAGACAGAATTGAATAAGTACGTGCTATAACTATTTTATCAACTACAACCAGAATAAACGATTTTGAAAAATTCATGAGTGGTCAGCCTGCTCTGAACGATGGATGCATGAAAAGCTTGCAGATTTATAGAGAACGATGTATCGTTCGCAATTGATTGATCTTGTACTTCAAGAGGTTTACTTAATCAGCGTTGAATTTTGAGACTATGTTAACCTTACTTCTATTGTTTGCATATGCAAAACATACAGCAGCAGTAAGGTTGCAGTTTATCTATGCCAAACTCTTAATCAATTCCTCCAATTCATGCTCGCTCAATTGTTTGATTCCCAAAAGATCATTGTCCAATTTGTGATAGGCCTCGAAGTGCGATCCATATCCCTCACCCCATATTGAAGCAATGATGAATGGCATGGCGAATTTATGTGGGTCCGGCTGTGGTTTCTTCAATTCTTCCCATCCGCCCGCTACGATATCATCAACCGATGCAACAGTCTCAGTCCAACCATCTGATCCTAAAACCTTCTTTCCAATCTCCGCGAGGTTCTTAAGGGTAGTTGCGTAACTTTGAATATAGACCGCGCGATTCTTCGTCTCTTCTGGGTGCTTGAGTATACCAACTACAGCTCGTCCAATGTCTGGGAGAGTAGTGGTACTGAAGGTTCGATTACCCCCATCATAAAGTGTGATGCTTTTTCCCTTGGCGCTCATAACGAATCCAACTGACAAGCCCCAATCAAGAAATGCACCATTTACCACAAGAGTGTATGAAAATTCGCTAGAAACATGCTTCTTAAGAGCATTTTGGACAGCAATTTTAGGTTGGAAAACTGGCAAGGCTCCAGTATTTTCTCTAGGTGTATTGGATCCGAACTCAGAGGGAATGAAGCGCTTGACATGAGCTTTAACTGCTGCTTCAACGAGAAGAAGCTGCTTGTCTAAACTGGCTGAGGCGAGAGTGGATACAACGGCATCTTGTCCTGTAAGAGCACTGGTGAGCGATTCGAGAGAGTCGTAGTCGACTTCCTTGACTGTAACAGGAGATGGAAATTTGTGAGTGCTCGATTGTCGGGTAAGAACTGTGACTTGAAAGCCGGCTTTAATGAGTTGATCAAGGATTGCTGGGCCAAGATTTCCAGAAGCCTATATAGATGTTAGGCACAGACCCTCAGAGAGAATGGATAAGTTCTTACTCCTGCCAACGCAACTTTCGTGATTCCAGACATCTTGTAGATGTGTATAAGTTTTATGGTGGTGATTTATGTTGCTGCTACTGTAAGACAAACTAAGATGAAGTGCTAAATGATGGTTTAGTCTTGGAAGTGATGGATTTGTATAGGTAATATATAGCTATCGTAGAAACTGTGTATCTCGGTGTATAATGAGGGATGAGCTGCCCAGTGACAAACCGCCCTCACGGCAACAGTACATTCGGTCTACCACATCGCCGTTGTTTGTAAGCACAATCCTATGGCGCAACTTGTACATGGGCATTGCGCAATTTTGCGGGTCATCCCACATGCCACCGGCCACTATTCACCCCTTGCTCTAGCCCACGGGAAGAAGCACTGAGCAAATGCTTGGTAATCCTAAGAAAGTTCAAGTCACGAGTGGGCCAATGAAGTAGAAGAACTGTAGATAATGTGAGGATGTAGGCTTATACTAGGTAGGTGAACGAGAAGCACATCATAATCCCTGATCCTTTGTGTTATCTCTCCAGGTAAGGCTAACCTTGGAATTCAATAATGGGTGTGGGTCAGCCACAAATGGAGGATCCATGAGAACGTTATGTGTGGCTGGTAGTAGCTTACATAATCACATCCACCCTTTCCGGCTCTACACGCGTCTTCCTCACCTCATGCAAACAATCACATCTGCTCAACTCAAGTTAGCACTTTCTATGATACTCTGGTATATCAAATCTCAAAAGTCACAACATTATATCGATGCATTTCTTTCTAGCCAGATCTTTGGCGATGCAGATTTTGATGCTTACCACTGTGAATATCACAGTTCTCTCGATTTCATACTCATTTACAGAGCTTGGCTAGTAAGCAGTGCATGTCGGGTCATTCACTAATTGGTGGATGTATCACTACTCTTTGAACTTCACACTTTATATTCTTTCCCATTTACTTCTCTACATCTATTTCAATCCACCGGCAACAACTTGCGTACAAAAAGATGACACAGACTTCTCCCACTGCATTTGTCACCCCACAAGCAGGAGATGCATTATCTCCAACTCGTACACAACCAATAGCTAAACGCATCAAATGCAATGTGTCTGAATGCGGCAAGCTCTTCAGTCGCAAAGAACACCTTACTCGTCACATGAAGTCACATGATCCCAACCTTCAACATGAATGTCATATATGTGGTCGGCGATATGCGCGAAGGTAATTCAGCCCTTCAATTATTCGCAAAAAACTAAACTGAACATCGCTTACAATTCACCCAGTGACGTGTTGAAGAGGCATCTAGATCATCATGCTCAGAATTCAAGCACTAAACGTACAATGGTCGCATGCACATCCTGCCATGAGCGAAAGCTCAAGTGTGATGACACATCACCTTGTCGATCATGCATTCGCACTTCAACAGAATGTAGCCGATTGATTGATGGTGGGACCAATCGCAGGAAAATCGACAGCGTGGGCGTGAATGAGAATATTATCGGGAATAGCGTGGTCAATGCTCATAATTCGAATCAGGACTCTGATCTTTCACATGCCTGGTTTCAATCTGAAAACCCAACATTATCTTTACCTCCATACTCCGATGCGACTCTTGAGCTATTGTTTCAAAGTGAGGTTATTCCTAGCGGGGACTTTTCCTGGAGTCAACAGCAGTCTGTGGGAGGCAATCTTACAGATTTGTTCCATATACCTCTGTCTGACGATGCTCTCAATGATCCGCACAAGTCTCGGGTGAACGCAACGTATTATGATGCCGAATCTAGTGACAGAACCAGGTCAACACTTGCATCACAATCACCGTTATCATCATTATCCTCTGAGCCAGATCATTTATCGGAATTGCGTAGAACACTGAGTCAAGATCAAGGTCATCTGAACCAGCTTCTCGAAGTTTATTTCACCAAAATCCATCCATCCTGGCCCATTTTGCACGCTCCGACATTCAATCCTCAAAGTATTTCGCCGATCTTGCTAGGCTCTATGCTAATGCTCGCGAATTGGTTGGATGGATGTCAGAAGCATGAACAACTTGCGTCGGTTGTATTTGAAGCAATATTGGCTGTCCGATTGGTAATTTATACCCTCTGAGGATGTATTTTAGTTATCTCTAATCTAAACATCTAGGAAGTCCATCTCTCACTCAACAAGGAGATTGACCAATCATCACTCCAAAATCTCCAAGGTCTTCTTTTGTGTGTTGTGTATACAATTTCTCTTTTGGTGAGTTACATTTTCAAGAGTGAGAACTCACATCATTTTCCGTTCACTACTGATAACATCAAAGACTACCAAAGGAATGTCGTCGAGGGCTGTTTATCTTAATGGCGCACTGATCTCGACATGTCGTCATGCTGGTATTTTCAATGGACAGAACACATATTATGAGCTGGGTGATTGTCCATTTGATCTTTGGCTGGTTCAAGAACAACTTCACAGGTACCCATAACCTCATGCATTTTGCCTCAGTCTATCTACGCCATATGCTGACAACAACTAGACTTGCGTTTTCTAGTCTGAGAGTGGATGCTTATCTAAGTGTCCTTATGGATTATCCACCGTCTGTTCGTTATCAGGAGATCAGCATTCCCCTTCCAAAGTCTACAAAGCTATGGACTGCGGCAACCGATGAAGAAAGGCGAAAACTTCAATGGCATGAACCTGCAGGTCGCGAGAAAGCCTTGTTCTGCTTTCTCATGCGCGATCTTATTGATGCTAGCGAAGACCAGGCAGTCTCGTATCATCTCACTGATAATGACTATCATCTCGGACTTTGTTCCCTACAGATTGGTACTTGGGAAACGGCTCGCGAAGCTTTCTGTTGTTGTGATTCAGATGAGCTGATAACGGATCCGAAAAGAAGTGATCCAGTCCATCGATGGGGCTCCCAACTCAATCGTTGGCGTACAAGAATGGAAGATCATGTTCAATCGCACTCAGAGATCAACTCTACAGAGTTTGATCATGATCGTATATTTCCACAACTGAACCTCATACTATGGCATATATCGGCCCTCACAGTTCATGCGCCCCTAAAGCTCTTACAACGACAAGGGTGTTGCTTCAAATGTCGTCCTGGAGCCGGTTTGACTACACAAAGAACAAGAGCGCGTCTAAGTAGCTGGATGTTTTCTCCACACCCCCGTACCGCCCTTTGGAATGCTGGTCAGATATGCCGGCTGGCAGAAGATAATATTTCGAATCGCTCATCTAATACTGACCCTTTGCTCAATCCACTTGCAATACCTGGAATTCTTAAAAGCGCAATCGCTGTTTGCTCTTATACATATCATATTCGTGCTTGTTTCGTATGCACTAATGTATTAGGAGATTCGATCGATCTATTCAATGCATCTCACAAAGATGACATATTACAGAACTGGACGGAGCACGGAATTGGAATGGCTACCTGGGGTACGGAAGCAATTCCAGTTTGCCATTGTAGATTTAAGGATTTGGAAATGTGGTTTCGGGAGAGATTTGCGAGAGATCCAGGTGCCGATACACAATTCACGTCATTTCTTTCCGGCTTGGGCGAATAAAAGTTTGAGTTCTTTTTGCACTAAAAGCAAGTTCCCATTTTTTACGTCAGGAATGAATGGAAGAAAATACTGTAGATGTACGAAATTTTAATTTCATCTACCCTGGGGCCATATTCTCAAGGGAAATATTGGAACGCGTTGGTGTTTCACCCCATCTCGAGTGGCATGCTCAAGCTGGGGCTAAGAAAAGTCTAGAACGGATACCTCAAAGCGAGAACGCTGCATTTGGGCGGGCACTGCCTCCACGGGGAAGACGCAGATCTAATACTACATATCATGGAAGAAATGGCGTCGGTCTTGTACAAATCCATAGTTGAATTTCTGATTTTAAGAGTATGATTTTTATGCGATCGCAAAAATGGCAATTCACAATTCGAATGGTATTCTTATAGCGATAATTGCGACCTGTCTATGGGCGGTCATGGACGCTGACCACAGCTATACGTGAAACTAAAAATTCATATGAAAATATAAAACGATACTACCTATAGCAGTCCTACTCATAAGGTAGATGCCGATGGATGTTGTATATGAGATCATGGAAAATATTCTTGGTATGTTGTAATGATCTTGAAGTCCTTTAAAATTAGACGAGCCTTTAACGTTAGACGAGAGATGAGAAGACTTAGGCAGGTTTTCCCTTTGTATCTACATTCTCAGAGACGAGAACTCTAAGAAATATATATAGAGCATAATACAATTTACTCTCGTCTCTTTAGACTACGATTGAAACGTCTAGAGTTTCTCCACGGATTGAATATCAAATATATATACTCGCTCGTTTACTAGTTGATATCGCTAATATGTCAAACCCTATAGGGATATTCTATGATGTTGAAGTTAGACTATACTCCATCGCTTTCTACTACTCAAAAAGAATATCTTAGGAAAGTTGATATAATTTGATTAGTTCAGCGTCTAGCGAAGAAGAGTAGATTTTAAAGAAAAATATTAAAGCCCATGTCCGATGATCGTCTGATCAATCCTGATTCTAGCTGACAACATTTAGATTTCACTTGTTTTCATACACATCTTTTGTAGTAGAAGTCAATGATATACATAGTAGTATAGTCTTCACTAGTAGGAAATGCTTGGAAGATTCCCGAAGATGGCCGCCTCAAGATTACTTTCTCGAAACGCTCACTTCTTTCATTGAGTTCCTAAGTATTAAAATCTCTGTCAACAAACCTTGTTTTTCGTTTGAGGGTATTCAATGTTCTGTGGACATATTACTGATGATATCATGCAGCGAAACGACCTTAAAAATGTTGGAGGAAAATCCATAAAGAGGATAGAGATGTTCCAAATGGTTCAAAGGAGGGAGAACGAGATTCGTTGATATTTTTGATGATAAAACTACAAAGTTTTATAAAATCGACCCCGATGCTTCAAATATGACGGGAAGTGGTAATATCGCAAGATCTCCGATTGATTATAACAGTCAAAATCAAGTCATCAGCTTGTCTGGTAATAGTGCCCCACCACATGAGGTGTGGTCTGGTCCTTGGCGAAGAATTATGTACATGGTTATCCCAATCTTATCTTTCTCAATGTCGAAAATAAAAGCTCTATGTTATGACATCTTTTATAAGCTCAATTTGGGCTTCGGAGACCAGTTCAAGATGTCTGGTGCGAGATTTGAATGTTTCTTCGGTTTCGTCAAAACAGGGCATACCAAACCCTGGCTCGGGATTTGAAGATGGCTGTTCTTTAGATCTAAGATTCTAAGAAATTGTAACAATACGCGCTGAGAAGAGTGAAAGTGTTCCTTGGAATTCCTGGAACAATGGTGTTCTACACACCGAAAGCAATGATGTTTCAGGTAGTCGTACATCGGTATTGGCAACAAGAAAGTTACTGGAGAGCCAATATCACGTAAGTAAATAAACTTATCCGGGTAGGCCTGCGGGTGGGAGGGGGACATCCTCTGCATTTGTGTCGTTTCTGATTCTTTGCTTACATGAATTAATAATTACAAGCTACCAGCTTTCTAGAATGCCCATCGATATCTGACAGCAAATATTGGACGCCATTGGAAATGAATCCTGCCACATTTGCTCACACAAGTCATAGTATCCAAGATCTAAAAACTGCTTCCGGGGATATGCTATTCTGCGCATTCTCCCATGCGTATACCGCCATATCCGAGACCGCAAATCGCTGGAAGAAAATGCTGGAATGTTTCGGCCAATTTATTGGTGACAAGCTCGCATTCTTAGATCCTGAATATCACGACAAGTTGCTTTCCGACGACGAAGTTCTTTCGCGGTCCAAAAAGTATTTCTGGGCTGTCTCTGCGCTAAAGGGGTTCCGTACGAGTATATCACGGAACATCTTGCAGATCAAACAACTGTTAGAGCAAGAAACGAGCGAAATTACGACTGAAGAAGGGTTGGAGGGACTTCGACGAGTACGTGCCATGTTATGTAGCGAACTTCGAAAGATAGAAAATATAGCGTCGAAACTGGAGACCAAGCAGGAAGAAGCCACATATTTCAGAGATGGAGTAAGTTTACCTGATGTAAATAAAATGTTTGATTTATTCTGTTCATAGAGCTCTGCTAATTGCCATTTCTGCCCCAGATCATCAGCACGAGTTTGCTGGTGGAAACACAAAATTCTACTCACTTTAACCAGAACGTCAAGCTTCTAACAAGCATGAGCATTTTGTTCCCCGCTCTGTCTTTTGAGTTGTTGAAGCAATTGTGTGAGCCTTGCTTTTTCTAACAGGGCATTCGTGAGTTGCTTTGATAGACTTTCCTTTTCAATTCTCAGGATGTTAATAAATAACAAATTCAAAAATCAAAAATTCAATTAATCAATTAAAAATAATTTAATTAAGAATTTCGTATGGTAAGATACTCATTCTTAATATCAAATCTACTTCTTGGCTTACAATTTGTCAGTCTACATGGAATATCGATGCTTCCTTCGACTACCTGAATCTTCTTCTCGCGGTCAATATCCTCGCCGCTGCCACCTACTTTCTGGGTTACAATGCGCATTAACTTTTATTCATATTCCAAAATGCCTATGATAAATCTATCAAAAATACTCTGCAGGCAATGAAGAAGGATGAAGTAGCAAAATGGGCAACTAAAACATATGAATTGATAAAATACTTGGAGCTTTCAAAAGGAGCTCAAAAGCCTTCACATTGAATTTATCTTCATACGCATTAAGAAGGCTCTGCTGGTTACCGTGGGCTAAGCTCTCTCGAAGATATACTTCAACTGCTCGAACTGAGGTTCCGTGTCCGTTGAATTTCTTTTATTCAGGCCGGTGTCTTGAGGTTGAATTAATGGTCAACTCATCTTTCTAGATGTTAATTAGTCAATTCAATGCATGGATTTTACCTGTTTTTATCTTATCTAATTTGCGTATCAAATAACATATCTAACAAGACTTTACTTAAAGAATTTTGTGAGTAGAATTAGAAGCAGTAACCAGGTACATCAAATTCTACTTCAAATTTGTTACTGTACTCTTCTTCAGTTCTACGTTACTTTTCTTGCATAACGACGTTTTGACTTCTTCCTTGGAGTGTATTCTTTCCCTTGTCTTATCTGAATTTCACTTGTCATCTAACTTTTATCTGATGATTTATTTAGCATCATCAGTATTCTCTCTCTAGTTTCACTAACTAGTTTCCAGTTTTAAAAATCTCCGTACATTTCTCTTGTGCATGGATGGCTAGATGGGAAAAAAGAGATGGAAATGATTTTTGTTTGTGTTGAGCGAATACAATCGCGATTGAAGTTTCCAAAAGAAAAGCTTGATGTTAGGAACTTTCTAAATTTTTTGCCTTTTACTTATACGTGGGTTAGTTGCGGGTTACTCAAACCAACACTATCGGTCTCCTATTCGACCTCGCCAAATTTTCAAAGCCGACTGTGGATACGAAAATCGTCCATTTATCCATTCCTGCTCGCGAAACTTTTTTTTTAATTTTGTAGGCCGGATGATTCATCGAGAGACCTATATTGACCATTTGGTAATGAAAGTGATGGGTCGCATGGCTTTTCATATTCATTCATAGTGTCATTAGTTGCCACTTTTATTTTATTTTCACAAATAAAGAATTACTCTTATTCTAGAACTTCTCTACGGGAAATTCACAGAAAAATGTATGCGAAGTAGTACTGGTTGTTTTTTGCATTAACTTCACCTCGAATTAATTTGCTATTGACGAAGATCTATAACAGAAAATTTATAGACAGCAGCATTACACGTGTACTTCATCAGCATTCTTTTGGAAATCATTCGTTCATTTCTTTTCTGTACGATCGTTTTGTTTTCACAAATCTTCAATTGAAGAGTCATTCACTTGTCACTTGCTTAATCTTTAATCATGGTTGTTCTACCCGATCCCGATAGGTAAGACTTTTGTCCATTTCCCATTGCACCCTCCCCCCTCATCCTCGTAACTTCATCACTAACCTCTCACTCAGCGATAAATGGCCCTTCTTCGGGCACGTCTACTTACGACAGGATTCCCTTCCTTCATCACATCATTCGCGCCATGATAGGTCCCGCGATGAAACTCTGCGTCTCTGGAACCTTCATCTTCCTCTCGATCCACAAAAAGACCAGTTTAAATTTGTTCTCTTCCTGCAACGTCTCATGACAATGGTCGAAGAACATTATCGTAAACGCCACAGTTCTCAAGATTGGAAAGTCTCAAAGCCAATCGAAGATTGGTATCACCAAAGTATCCGCGATCTTTCTGGGTTAGGAGTCGATGAGAATCTCATGAACAGGGAGTGGAAAGAAGTAGTTCAGAAAGGAAATCGAGAAGCAGCGAGAAAAGAAAGGAAAGAGGTGAAAAAAGTACACTTGGAAAAGATGGAAAGAGAAAAGGACTATCGGCATCATCGATATCGTGGTGGTAGAAGAAGAAGATCATATTACGAACCTTCCGATTCCTCGTACGACGACGAATCATCAGAAGGTATAGTTTTCCATCACCATAAGCACAAACCCTCCAAATCGAAATCTCCCACCAAGAAAAAGAAAAAGAAAAAGATCATCCAAAAGGAACACCTAAATGGGTAATTTGTCCGCGTCGCTCAAAACACTGTTCGCGCGAACATGAAATGGTTAAATGTAATGGACGCTGCGGTCTTACGGCTTGTGTGGAAGATGCCCATCGTTGTCATAAAATATACATCGACTACGAATGTACGGATCCGGAATGTGAAAAGTGCAAGAAAATCAAGGAACAGCAGGAGGCGTGGGAAAAGAAGGTGGCGAATCCTACGCATGAGGAGAAGTGGGTGGATTGTCCTTGTGACAATCCGTGGTGTAGAAGAAAGGTTATGGAGATTAAGGAGATTCCGAAGCCGCCGAAGCCGAGATTTTATGGTACGAAGCCTTGAGGTGTGAAGAGAGTTTCTAAATTTCTGTTAATATGTGCATCCTGAGTTTCTATGAATATTTCGGAGTGTAGCGAAAGAAACTTATGCATCGGGTTTTATGGAATTTTGTATGGCGTATATTGATTATATTTTCTATACCTAGGAATCTAATTTGTATATAGAATGACATTTTTTTTTATTACGGCTTTAATTGTATAAAGAGTTAAAAAAAATTAAAAAAAGAATAAGCTTTACTTTTAGTTATTTAATTTGGTGATATTAAAGCTATTCAAAAGATAATCCCATAGAAGATACTCTTTATTTATTCTTATTTCTTTTTATCAATATTATTTTTAGAGACTATCAAGACTATATATAACCCTAATATTGAGCGCTCCGAAATACTGACGAGCTGGCTCGCCCCCGAAATTATTTTGGGTAGATAGAGGGCCAATGTTTCGATTAGGTTGGATGAATGTACATTCATAGTACGAGTCGATATGAATGATTGAATGTCCATTGTTTGAATTCATATGAATGATTGGATAATCATTGTATCAATTGACTTGAGTGAAGGAGCGAAAAGTGTCGACTGTGTCTATACGTCGTTTAAACACAGACATGACGTTATGTTTTCTCACCACCTCTCAATACCCATCTATGCACTAACCCCTCGGAATAAACCCACTACACATCAGAACACCCTCCACTTCCACCCCCGACTTAAAATCCCTCACGTCTAAACAACTCATCTGCCTTCCTCAAGCCCTCCTGAATATCCTCTCTCGTCAACCGAAATTCCGTTCCCGCTAACGCTCTATCCACCCTCGCAATACTTTCCGTCGCTTCTTGCTCATACAATCCTCCCAATCTCCACTTATCACAACAGCGTTGACAAAACATCTGAACGGGTGGACGTCGCATAATGATGGTTCCTGGCGCGGGCTTGCATGCGAAACTCATCGGGATGATTCTGTTGCGGTGGTACTGGGTGGGATAGGTGGGACAGCTGAGCCAGGGAGTAGGATTTAGGGCGGTGGGAAGGTGTTGGCAGAGGTAGATTACCGGGTTGCACATTTTTGGTGTTTGATTGGAGTTTGCTGATGATTGTTGATCTAATTGGATTTTCTGGGTTTCTCGATGAATGTGAAAGTTGTTCTTAAAGTATTGTTCTTTTGTATTTCGGTGCAGGAGGCATTTTTATAGATCCTTCACTATCCGTACCAAATGTTGAGATCAAACATACGGCATCGTGCTTGAATAGTGATTGAATAGCAGTAAGGAGACGTAATCAGGTATGCCGTATTCACATTGTAGAGCCTATTCCTTGAATCTCTAGCCTTAGAGTCAGCTAATAAAGCATTTGTGGATGTGATGAGAATTAAATCACTGTGAAGAATTGAATCATCGATTGAAACAAAACAGCGCTTATTTTAACGTTCGTAGACCTGAATGTAAAATTGATATTGGCTTGCAAATATTGGTAGCAGAATTCACTAAAAAGAAGCCACTTAGGTGTAATTTCATAAACAGAGGAGATTTGATTTCCTCATACGTCCAAATGCTCTCATCTGATCTATTTGCAAATCACACAACCACTACAAACACTTTACAAAGACTCACAATGTCCAAACTCATATATTTCCTACATCACAGCAACCAAGCCCCAATCAGCCTTCAACTATAATTTCGGGGCCAGGCAGCTCGCCAATGTTTCAGAACGTCTAATATTCCCTATAAACCTATTAAGAGTAGATATGAAATATATTTTTGATAGGGAAAAATAAGTTAAAGATTCAAAATAAAGCTTATTCTTTATATAATTGAATTTATAGTAAGATATTAAAAGATATTGTATAACTATCTATATACGAGTCACATGTCATACACAAATTGAATTCTAAATATAGAGAATACAATCAATATATACTATACAAAAATTCCGTAAAATCCAACGCATAATTTTCTTTCGCTATGCTACGAAACATAAACGACATCAAAAAGTAGTATCCATCCCCAATAGCTTTTTCTGGTATGTCTCTCAAATTCCACGATGAATTACCCGACTGACTGTCCCAGAAATAGCTAGTGATAGTAAAATTGATTTGGGTGGAAGTTTCTGGCCTCTTTTGCCAGCCGGGGAGAATGTGAATTATGATATAGGGAGCTGCGACGGGGATGATGAGGATAAGTGAGGCGAGTAAGAGAAAAATAGGTTCGAAATGTGTGGGGGATAGGCAGGTGAAGGGGCATGGGAGGGTATACTAAGTATAAATTTCCCTTTCTTTTGAGCTTGAATTCTCAAGGCCAGACGCTTGTCAATTTTGGCAGGGTCTTCGAAGATATCTAGGAGATATTGTTTCAATTTTTTGGTCTCGGACAGTGGTGTACAAGGAGCGCTTTCTGAAGGCATGAGAGTGTATTCTGATAGATCGGCAGCCGTGTCTACGTCGCAAGTAAATCGTCCTTCTACATTCGTATAACTCCTGAGCACGACAGCCGAGTTACCGAGCTTGCCTATTTCATCGTCGCTAGTTAAGCTTTCGCCTTCAACCTCTACTCGGTTGATAGATCCAACTAATCTATCTATAATGTACCGCGATTAATGGACCAGGAAGAAATTGCCGTATTGCCTACTGACCAAGTTTGCTAGCAGATGCATGATACAAGCAATCACATTAGGTCTTGCAGTCAACCCAAAGGCAGCGTATCCGTAACTATCCGTTTGTGAGCTCTTCAATTGGTTAAAAGACAACACAGATCGAGGTTGTTCCCAAATCGTGGTCTGGAAGCGTTGATCATGGTGAAGAGATTTTTAATGGAGTATCAAAGCATACTATGTACTTATTTGCGAGAAGTGATCTGGAAATTGGAATACGTAGTGTTGAACTGTGTGGGTGTATGAACAGATTAAGATACCCACTAGCACTCTGTTGGGTATCAAGGAAGAAAGCCAGAAACAAAACCGGACAGACTCCCTCGGCTCGAAAGCAAAAGAGCAAAACAGGTCGACAAAGCGAAACAGGAAGTAGCGTATAGAGTTATCATTGAAGCAAAAACTTCAAGGTGATCATTAACAATATACATACATATACACTTCTTGGCAATCACACAGTAGTCAATAGCAACACGCAAATTATATGATTCCCAGTCTGACAATTCATTAAACTTATGCTTTTCACAAATGTCGAAAAAGAGAGAGTAGAGATCTGGATGAAGAGTGAGGTAGGTAAGCATGGAAGTATTTCGATAGCTTGAGGTTTAGGGCTTGACTTGGGGTTTGGTTGTCATTTATTGTAGCCCGGTTCCAGATAACAAGCAAGAAAGCAAGCATTAAAAAATCACGGCATTACAGAACCATCAATCAGCCTTACGGAGAAAGCATTGAAACATCACAACAAGCATAGCATACACGATATAGCATCTAGAATACCATTCATCACTCTCATGAACCCTCACTGATCCATGCATCCACCGTCCACCATCCACTCACTCCCTAAAAATAGAAAGCGCAGAAATGAAAAAAAAGAAATCTCCACTAAATTCCCTCTCCTCCGCCCCTCCACCAACCAATCACATGGAAAGAAAGATAAAACACATAATTTTCTTTCCTCTGCTTTACCTTACCTTACGAGTACATAGATACCAATCTGCCTCGTCTCGTCTTATCTCATCTTATCTCAAACAATGCCCTCTTGCTTGCTTGCTTGCGAGCTTGCTTCAGCTCAACTAGGATACGATTGTTTGAGCTCTGGAAGAAGTGAAGAGTGGGGATTATGGGATTGATGGAATTTTGATGAGATATATTTTACGGTTGAAGATAAAATACAGTACTGTACTATTTAGTGAGTTTAAAAAAAGAAATACAAAAATAATAGTACACGTAGAAGAAATTCTTCCTTAATTTCCTGCTCTTGCCCACCCACCTATTTACCGCTAGTCCCCACCGGAATTTATCCAGCCAATTTGAATTTTGAAGGGGTTCCCCCTTTGAAGTTTGAAGAAGGGATACTCGAGTATGGTATATACATAGTAAAAGTTCCTCTACAGTAAAACCTCTCTATAAGTGTTGGAACACGTGATTAGGAACATGTCACGTTCTCCCCCACTTACGCACTTCGTGCGTATGTGGGGTAAAACGCGTATATAGCTTTAGCAATGCCCCCTTCGTATGAAGGGGGCAGACAGAATGATAATACCTTTTACCCTATATGCTTTACGTGTATACACACCTTACTAAGTCGATCCAACAATAAGGATCCTCCTTATAAGGATAATCTATTTATAAGGATATATTTTTCGCTCTCAAAAATTTTCAGGGCTAAAAAAGGCCTATATCCTTAAAACCCTTCTATTAGAATTTTCTTATATTTTTCGGTTTCAGGAGTACGCATATTCTTATTAGGCCAATAGAATCCTTAGGATACACTGATGATTTTTAATCACTTTTTATAGAAATAAAAAAAATTCCGAAATTGTTACGGAATATAACCCGATCGGGATGAATCGGGGCTAATCGGAAGCTAATTATTATCAGGTCGGGATTAGTTGGATATCTTTATATAAGAATATCTCTATATATTCTTAAAAAAGACTATAAAAACCGATATTCTTATAGAGAGGTTTTGCTGTACCTCTTTTCTCTTCCACCTCCCTTCCACCTTCCACTCCGACCCACATCCACATTTACATCTCCATCCACACACGCCGAGGAAAATCTTCTCCCTATAAGGTTATAACTTATCAGAACTATGAAGTATTACTCCAGAGTGGAGTTGGAGTATTCATAGCTCGTATGAACACTATTACCTCTATATACAGCCACTACCTACTACAATAACATAGTATAGTGAATACTCATAAACATAGATCTAAATAGAATTAATCTGAAATAGAATGAAATCAAAAACCGAAATGAATATCGTAATCGAAAGATATAATTATTTCCAAGTATAGAAGTAACCTTATAGTTCGTAGACAAGTATCGAAAAAGAGAGAGGGAGTCTAGGATTCGAGGGTTCGAGGGTTCGAGGATTTCAGAATGAAATAATAGGAACGAGGAAAACTTGCTTCGTTCGAGAGGTGGATTCGCTCGATTGGGGTATCGTCGAGTCTGTCTCGAGTCTGTAGAGTGACTGTTATCTATCTCGTTTATTTAATAATAGTTTCGAGTATGTTTTATTGTATATAAAATAGATATCAGGATATAGATTTCGCGAGAGAGGGGGATGAATGATAAGGGTATTGTAATAGTAGAGTAAGTTGTAACGGGAAAAAGAAAGTAAAGAAAGTTTTTACTTCTCGTTCTAAGGATTGGATTGTTACTATTCATGCAGGTGGTGAAAGTTATCTAGTTCGAGTAGTTCGGACTTTATGTTTGAGGGGAAAATGCCGTGTCACGTGAGGGGTAGACATGACATGGTGGATTCGAGTTCATACTCTGTACTCGAACATTATGTTTGAGGGGAATATGCCATGTTATGTCACGTGTAATGCTTCGGTCCCGAAGAGAGTTTGGATTTTGGATCTAGAATGATGGATGGATGAATAATGATGGATTATCGTTGAGGTTTTTGATTTCATTTGGATAGGCGAGATACTACTAGGTATAGTTACTAGGACGAGTCCCTACGATATGATAGGGATCTAAAGTATGAATCTGAAGTATGAATCTGAAGTATGAATCTGAAGTATGAATCTGAAGTATGAATCTGAAGTACGAATGGATGGATGGATTTGATTCATGTATATCGTACGAGTATGTTATTTATTTCTTTATTTTATGGTATAGTGAGTAGAGTATAGAGGGTTTAACCTTAACTTGAATAGGAAATATATCCTGGGGCGCAGTAAGGAAAGATACTGGACGATTGTTGCCACGCGTTGGTTGGCGTAATGATGGGTGGATGGGTTTATGTGAGTGTAGTGTGTATCGGAGTGTGATGTGATGTGATGTAATGTGC